TGGGTATTCTTTATCAGCAGTATATTGAGAGATTTTTGGCGACATATTTGTGGCAGCGGCTTGGGGTATTGGCAGCATAGGGAGGGCAGATCGAGATCGTTGTTTTGGGTTAATTTGTTCTTGATTATTCTGTGAGTGTTTTCATTCATGTACCTAAAAGTATTGGTTTAGAATAATTAGAAGCTAGAGAGCTTTTGTTGGGACCTCTAGAGAGTTAATATCGAGGCGAGATATTTGAGTACTTGTATCCAATCTCGTATTATAATGGAACCGACATCTGAGCCGAATATTGGACCTAGCCATAAACTTGACCAGTATAAATCATTTGTATCATTTATTGCTTTCCTTTTAATCTGTTATTTTTGTTGTGTGATTATTATTTATTGGATATAATTGTGAAAGGGAAAATTGTTTGGAGCGCTTAATTTTCCAACATAATTCGATATGTTTCGTTCTTTCATGGAACACCGGATAGATTGACATTTAAAAGACACTCATGTTATCACTAAAAAGTTCAGGTGGTTTGATACGCGGAATAATGCCAATGTCATGCAATAGAAATATGATCAATGTGAGTTCTGTCATGCATTGGTCATGGATTAATATTCTGTCTTGATCTTGATACTATTGGTTGCTTCTTTGACGACAAAGAGATTATGTTGGATCCAAGGAAGACACAAAGACTTGAAGTGCTTCTTCTAGTGGTTGGACGACATGCCCAATCTTCATCACATAAATCATAAATTAGGTTGGGTGAACTATTTCTACGAAAAGTAATGACATGGTTAATTCAAAGTGTGTTTAACGCAGCAAAGTATGTGTTTAACATGCTTTAGGTGTTGCATTTGTGGTTGTTGCATATGTTGACATGCTTAATTTCTCACGTAAGTACTATACTTTACGGAGTATGACCTATTTAATACAAAATTGAATGTTTAAGAACTTATTTGCCACTTTTTAAAGCTCTAAACACCTATTTAACACAATCTCAAAAGTTTCGTAAACTAAAATTATAATTTAATCTTTTATATATATATTCTATTATTTCATCTAATCAATCATATACTACATATACAACCACCACAATTAACATAACACCTCTCCGGATAAGACAAGATTATCTCTTACATATCAAATATTTGTATAAACAAACATTTAAATTTAAAAAAAAAAAACATTTAAATTTCAAATTCTCTCTCCAATCGGCAATTATCCTTGATATAAAAATGTCATTTTGTCATCTTCTATTATCTTATTATTTAATTAAAATATGTAAAATTATTTATTGATAAATTACGTCCCTTTCCATCACCTAAAAGACATATATGGTGGATCCAACCTTCTCTAAAGTCCACACAAATCCAACCTTGTTATAATTTTAGAAAAGTAATATTTAAGTACTCAACCATCAGTTAGTAGGTGTCTTCTCACTAACTGTTAAGATAGTTATAAATAATTAAATTTGTTATAATTTATTAGCTTAAACTTTTGAGTTCATCACAGATTTAACAAGTTTAACATTGAATAGTAAGGAGTGTTAACATGTTTAACATGATATCAAAGTAGTCTTGAATTTGAACGTCAGCCTACAACTCAAGAAGAGTGTTAAGATATTCATAAATGATTAAATTTATCCTAACTCACATTAGCTTAAGTTTTTTGGTTCAGGGATGATTTAATATGTTTAACACTAACCATCACTAAAATTTTGTGCTAGCCATGTTTTATTTCAAAAAATTTGATACATTTCACTTTGGGTTGACAATAGTTTTCATAACTAGTCGGATCTATTATCAGCATGTCACGTACACCTAAGTTAGGGTAATTTGGGACAAGTCGTGTTTCGACCCATTTTGGAAAATGCGAGAAATCTCTTGTAATTCTCCCCTATATTTTAGTACAACCTTTTTGTTACAGAAAACTTAACGTAGTCTAGCTCCAATTTATGAGCAAACAAATATATAATCTCTAGTATTAATTGTTCTATCTCTATCTGGTCTTTTTTATTTAGTTCAACTCTCTATATCTTATGGAAGGAAAAATTTGAGGTCCACAAAATTCCCAACATCTTCTTCCATTTGGTTCCAGTGGTTCTTTTGGGATCTTCGTTCATCTTCAATGAGAAAAATAAAGACAAAAAAAGAAAAAAAAAAACTTACCTAGGTCACCAGAGACGTGCATGCCCCTTCTCTCAATCATTTTCTTGAGAATTAGCAAAAATGAGCAAACAAATAAAAGAAGATTTTTTGCCTCACTTTAGGTGCAGAAACAGAGACATTATTCCACAATATAATATAGTTGACAGTTTTACACCATTAGATGTATGAGAGTGAAACCACAAAATACCTCGAAAATATATATATCGTCGCGTGGTTATTAGGAGGTACGGAGATTTTTAAATTTGCATCTAATGATATTATTAGGAAGTAGCCACATTGTGGCGCCTCATTCAATAATTTTTCATAAAACCAATCTCGTGAACACACAAAAAAAAAAAAGAGGAAGAAAATCGTTTGGTAAAAACTTGGTGAAGGAAGACACTTTAGCCGACACTTGAGCCTTGGGTAAGGAAGAACGTGAAGAAAATGGATCATACATTATAATATTACCATAAGGATCATATTTAGGGGTAAGTAATTTCTTACTTGGCTCCTCAAATTAGAAATGCAGCCTTTTGCCTGCTTCTTTATAGCCAACGATGCCGCTTTTTTGGTCATGGATATCCATACATAGTTCGATTAATCTCACGGGAGAACCGCTTGATCCTACAACATTTGGTGTCGGAAAAGACAAAGGAATTATTAATTCATAAGGTAGGTGACCATCATAAGATTTGACCCCTTTCCCAATAGTAAATTTATTATTACTCTCATATTTCAAAAATTACACGTAATTAAATAAGACCGTTGCAAATATGACAAAAATATTTAGTAAAATTAGCAAACTAGACACCACAGTTAGTTTTTTCAAATATGATACTTAAAAAAACGGAGGTCCAATTTTAAAATAGAAACTTTTACCCAAATAATATACATCTCTAATACATTTGTAATATATCTGACTACTGATATATATGTGATATACATCTGATATATTATTGATATGAGTGTCTCCTATACTTGCAATATGTATGTTGATATATATATGATATGCTACCGATATAAATGTCTGTGCAATATATATGTGATATACATTTGATATACTACCGATATAAGTGTCTAATATACTACTGGTATGATTATCTGATATACTACTAATATAAGTGAAAATTTGTGCTATATTTAAAAATTTTAAAAATAGGTGACATATGTCGAAATATATTAAATATTTTTTTTACCCACTACAATTTCTCTAATTAAATTAATTTTTCTTGGTTAAATTAAAATAGTAAAGCACATTAAATGATTATAGGAGTGGCTTCATATTATTAAAAATTCCAACGGATAGAACTGCAGATAGTTTTTTTTTTCCCTGATATCCATGAGTGTTCGGGCAAGCTTACACGTACCTCGATTAATCTTACGGGACAACTGCCTGACCATACAACATTTGGTGTCGGGAAACACATAAGAATTACTAATTCCTAGGGTAGGTGGCCATCATGGGGTTTGAACTCATCCCCTTAATTAACCCTAGCCCCTTTGGACCAATAGGCCACATATAATTGTTCAAATGGCAGATAGTTCGAAAGCAGCCTCTATCTTATTGAATATAATACCTTGGAGAACTATATGTTTGAAATATATATAATGATGTTGAAACTTAATTTTTTACAATAAGAGAAGCTAGAAAATGAGATTTTAACAGTTACACTGACTTTATTTTTTATCCTAAAATAAAACATAAATAAAAACAATCAATAGAAAACATTACAAAGCACCCTAATCAAAAATACAAAAATAAGAAATTAATAAGTAAGAATAAGAGAAATTAATAAGTACCCTAAATAATATTGAACAACCAATACATAATAAGGATATTATGCTAAGGACAACGAATATACTCCAAGTATCTCCACAGTAGTATAATATGATTCGCTTTCGGCATACCTCTCATTATTTTACTTTTGGTTTGAACCAAAAGATTTCACACAAATAGAGATAATTGTCTTCATCTATATACTATGAATCATTCTCTCACCCAATCAATGTAGGACTTTATATATGTTACGTTTGCAGTTCCCTTACAAACCCAACAATGTTAATCTTACCGTAAGTAAAAAAATGAAATACTTTTCCGATAGGAGTTGAGTTGGTAAACTTATGAAAACTAATAATTAAAAAGAGTATTATCTTTTAGAGAATCTCTTTTTGCCACCTCAATTATGGTGATATTTTTTTAGGGACCAATAATCATCATCTACATTTTAGTATTTTTTTAATTTATTGATCCTGTCAGTGAATATTAAAATTAATTGACCATAAATTTATATGGCATAAAAAGTTCCAATTTAATCGTATTTGTCAAATTTATTACTTTGGTGGATGAATATTAAAATTTACTGATGAAAAATTTATACAACATAAAAATAAGTAGCGGAAAAAATCTAAATTTTTAAGTATACTTAAAAAATTTGAGAGAAATTAGCTTATCCTCCCAATAGCTAGAAATAAAAATATTTTTCTCTCGAGCTCAATCAATATGAATAACACGTTAGTGACGAACCCTGATTGTTTGATCTACTATAAATATTTTAACCGATCGAGCTATAATTTAGTTGGTAATTGAACATGTGGTTAGTTCCTAGTTCCTAGGTATTAAATAAAATATACAAGTTAAGAAAAATAATCTACTCCCCATGTGCTATCCTAGGGCTTTTGGTGTAAAAATATAGTATTAAAAAAGTCCAGGCTGTCTTTGTTTTTGCCTCCCAAGAAAAGAAATAACAAAGCAAAAAATATACAGTAGTATTTATAATAAAGAAAGACTTGATTAGTGAATGCATTAAATAGACAAATCATGTTTGTACAAATATAATGGTGGCCATTCAAGTTTCAACCATGGCTGAAAAAATCACTATGGCATCGTCATCATATTCAATTCTAAGCACAAATCTTGAAGAAACACAGTGGGTATTGCAAATCAGCGAGCTTCTCCAACGAAATGAGTTTCATACGGCTTTTGAAAGTCCAATTTCTATCTTTCAGGTGCCGGATTCTATTCGAAACGACAGCCCAGAAGCCTTCACTCCTCGTAGTGTTGCCTTGGGGCCTTTTCACCATTTTCACCCACAGCTGCTCAACTTGGAGCTCTACAAGCTTGGTAGAGCAAAGAAGGTGAAAGATCAGATCCAACTTGCTGAGTTTCACCAACTTATCAGTGATAAACTCAAGCCATTGGAGCTCAAAATCCGAGCATGTTTCAAAAAATATTTGGAGGTGGGATGCGAGGCTTTGGCTTGGATAATGCTCATCGATGGGTTGTTCTTGATTCACTTGCTTCAAATCTTTGCTGAAGTTGAAGTGAAGTGTTCTCTTCAACGCCATGAGCTTCCTTTACCTGAGCTCGACGCTGAGCACCAACAGATGTACCTCAATCCCAAAGCAAATTCAATGGCTCGAAATGAGATCGTGAGTGACACTCTAATGTTGGAGAATCAAATCCCATTTTGTGTTCTCAAAGAAATTTTAGCAGGAACCCAAATCGTCAATGATTTGCCACTCTTATTATACAAATTCTGTGTCTTGGTTTCACCATTTGGCTTACCTTCACAAATCAACTCCAGAACTTTTCTTGACCTGCCTCAGACGTTCCAAAAATCTCATCATTTGCTGCATTTCTTGTACCTCTTGATCTTGAATCAGGGGGAGATGGGAGATGATGGAATGGACTATATGGGTCCTGCCTCGCCAAATCTTCTCGGTCTTTGTTTCAACGTAATAACATCAGTTATGCAGACAAACATAGTTGAATTACTGCAGCAATTCAGTGAGTTAATTCAATATTTGTTTGAAATATTCAAGGCATTAATTTGGCCATCTTCACTCGAGGATAGCTTTCCTATGATCCCCTCAGCCTCAAAACTGAAGAAAGTTGGAGTGAAATTTCAGCCAAAATATAGCCTCCAAGGCATTATATTCAACAAGCGAGAGGCTGCTCTCGATTTGCCCGCCATCACGTTGGATTCTACCTCCCATGTAATATTGAGAAATCTAGTAGCATTTGAAGTCGTTGCCAAGTTGAACCCACCATGTTTTTCCCAATATGCAGCCATGGTGAATGGATTAATTGCAACTGCCAACGATGTCAGGATTCTCAAGGAAGCTAACATCATCATTAATAATCTAGAGAGTGATGAAGAAGTTGTGGAGCTCTTTAATGGGTTTACGAAGTTTGCTTCAAAGAGTGATTCATCAGAGATTGGAAGTCCCAAATCGACTTACATGGTAAATATGGTTGAAATCATTGAGGAAGTAAACAAATATTACGAGAGCAAATGGAAGATTAAGGTGACAAAATTTGTGAAGAAGTACTTGTCTCCTATTGCCAAGATCTTTTTAATTCTGGTCCTCGCATTGCTTATAATTTTTGTTATTATACGCGCATCTTGTGGATTATTATTTAGTTGTCCTAAAATCTTGAAATCGTGAGAGTGTATTTTTCTAAAGGGAAGTGCTTTTGTTAAAATTATTTTGTATGGGAAGTAGATTCCGCTGGCACAGGCAAACAGAAACTTGCATCAATATTGTACTCGGCTACATACATATTGAAACTTAAATTAGAATTTAATTAGATCGAGTTGGTGTTGAGCCGAGCTTGAGTAGAATCTTTAAGAAGGTTAGACTGCACCTTTTATATGGAGAGCATTGAAAAATGTTGTTTTGCCATTGGAGCGGCCAATACACAGGCAGCGGTATATACATATAATTGGCAACAACCAATCAAAAGGTAGGGTATATTAGTTATTAATATGTTTTCCAAAAAATACTATATTAAATTTAATTTATTCTTACAAATATGCTGATTTTCAATTATTTTAATAATATAATGTATTTATAAAGAAAAATACTTAGACTCTTTAACGGTGACAACAAAATCTCATCCTCACCACCATTGAAAAATTCACAACTAATTATTTTTTAATTAAAGTCTTTGTTTTTTGCATTTGACTCTCTTAATTGTCAACCATTTAAGTTGAAGACAAAATTTGGTTCTCAATGAGCATAAGTACTTTCCATTTATAAATACTTGGAATAAATATGCTTAATATACTCATTATAATTTCCCTATTTTTTACCTAGTTCTTTTTCTCTCTCTTTTTGGGGAGCCACTACTTAGTTTTTTAATTATTAAAACGTTTTAATCCGACATAAAAACAAAAAAAGAAACGTGATTCTTAGAAGGTGCTGTGTCGTTTTCAAAAATTATAATAATATTATAAGAAAAAATTAAAACAACAAAAAGACAATAGTAAAAGGTTGCCAATATATTGCAAAATTTTAGTAATTGATATTTTTATGTAAATAATTAAATTTTTAACAAAATAATATTTATTTGAAGACCTCTTTTCATATTGGCTTTTTCAAGGAAATATATATACATATATATTTTTTTTGATGGGGACAACTTCAAATGTTGGAAGATGCAAGTGATAGATCTTCTTACATACAAGAATATACACAAGACCTTGAAAGAACAATCGAGTATTGGGATGACTGACAAATAATTGACAGAGATGGATGAGCAAACGGTAGCAATCATCAGGCTGTGTTAGTCGATGAGCAGGGCGGTCTCGTGGCGAGCCAGAAAACAGCAATGGGACTAATGAAAGGCTTTGGCTGACAGGTATGAAAACCTTCTACCAACAACAAGGTGTATCTCATCACGAGATATTTAAACATCCACATAGAGGAGGGTACCTCAGTGAACTCCCATATAAATGAGGTCACTAATCTGATGAACAAGTTAAAGTCTATGAAGATCACTTTTTCAGAGGAGGTGAAGGCTATAAAAATATTGTCATCTTTGCCTGACAGGTGAGAGACGATGAAGATGGAGGTGTCAAATTCGTTGGGGGACAAGAGTCTGAAATTTTTATAATGCTGGAATTGCTGAGGAGATTCGCAGAAAAGGGAGTGGGAAGAATTAAGCATCCACTTTTGGTGGGAGATCAATTTGGAATCAACGTTGATAGCTCAGAGCATGGGCAAAGGGAAGATGAACTATAAGGGAAAATAGCAGTATAGCAGTCAGAGACTTGGGAGCAGTAGTGGATATGTGGAGTGTTTTTATTGCCACAAGAAAGAACGCATCAAGATATTTTGCAGGAAGCTAAAGGAGGATAAGGAGAAGGGTGATTCTGCTAATGTTGCAGAAATAGTAGAAGAGTTTCTGGCCTCTGCTGAGAGCAACTTTGTAGACCGATCATCAGAGTGGTTGTGGACCTACAGCATCAAAACATGTATCTTCAGACAGAAAGTGGTTCACATATTTCACTAGATAGTATGACGAGGTAAGGATGGGAAATGAGAGTATCTCCAAGGTTAAAGGAACTGGGGATGTCTGTTTGAAGATCGACAAAGGGACCGAGTTTGTATTGTGAGCTGTCAAGTATGTTTCAAGTTTCGGAATGAATTTGTTAACTGTGGGCCACAAGAAACTTTAGTGTATGTGTCAAAGTTTGAGGTTGCCAGGGGATCACAAAGACAGAGTATGAACCTTATCAATATTCATCGGGTTTCATCTCAAAACGAAATTGGCAATGAGAGGAGTAGCCCATGTCTATTATAAACCATTATTAGGTCCCCTCTCTTTTCAATGTGGGATCCTTAACATGCCCTCTTAAGATCGTGGCTTTTTTGGCTCATCGATCTTAGCCGGATTCCATTTTTGAACCGTTTGCTCGTTTGAGTGTTTTCGGCTCTGATACCATATCAATATTCATGGAGTTCCATCTCAAAACCAATTGGCAATGAGAGGAGTAGCCCATGTCTATTATAAACCATTGTTAGGTCTCCTCTCTTTTCAATATGGGATCCTTAACAAACCTACCATTAGTTCAAGTACAACAGTTGGGAAGAAGAGAAAAAGGAAAGTGGAATAACTCAGTCATCTCGTTCAACAGGTTGGCGAGATGATGAAGTTGCGTAAGCGAAGGAGTGCATTTAAAGAGAAGACTACAGCGGGTACTGAAGTCAAAATTAATGTCTCTAGAGTGGCAACGAACTTGAGTGGGAGTGTCAAGTCATAATAGGGGAAATCTTTCGTCAGAGGTCGTTGGGTTTTATTGAGGAAACAAGCATCGAAGACAACAACTTAGATCAAGTCGGAGCTCGTAGATGTCTCTCTAATGTTTGGGAGACAATACCACGTAGGATTGCTCAGTCTCAAGGAAATCATAGACAGAGCTTGGATAGGGCCGATCAATTGTTGATTAGTTACTATTGGTGTAGTTAGAAATGAGTTATGAGGAACACTATTGTCCAATGTAAGGTAAGATTGTTGCTTTGTCTCCAAATGGGAAATTGTTGGGATTTATGGAGCCAAATCGACGTCAAAACTAGTCAAGATGAAGAAGAATGAAAATAGTCGAAAAAGCGGAGCTGTAGGCCATGGAAACCGAGGAGGCAACGCCCTGGCGTCGTCGCGATGTGGCATGCGCAGATGTTTTCGGTTTGTATCACCATGGCGTTGTCCCTACTTATCTAAAAGCATTTGTTTTCTTGTTTTAGGGTTTAGCAACCGAAAATATAAGTTTATGTGGCAGTTTTTTAAGGTGTCGGCTCGAGGTATTGGCAGTAGAATTGGGGCAGATCAAGATCAACGTATTCGAGGTAATTAGATATTGATTCTTGTGAGTTTTTCATTCCTGTACCTAAGTATAGTGTGTTAGAATACTTAGAAGGCTAGCTGGCTTTTGTTGGGATCTCTAGAGAGTGAATATCTAGGGGTGATATTTTGTGAGTGCTTGTGTCGCTACGGGTTTGTGACGTGGAGCGGTCAACTTTCTTCCTGAGAGGAGAAAAATGGAGTCGCCACCAATCTTTATTTATAGGGTGTGACTGGTCACCCAAATGCATGGATAAGTTGGTATGCACGAAAAAGATATGGGTCGGGGGTCTTTTGTGTATGGGAAAAGTATTAGCACCCCACAACACTCATCAACAAACGATAATTGGCCTTCAAAGAAAAGAATTTTATTTTTATTTTTAAATGTCTCATGTTTTATTGATCACTATTCATAAGGTAAATAATGAACAATAATAATGAGTGGCCTAAAGTCATTAAGAAAATTTTGTTTATTTGAATTTAATTGACCTCCCAAAATAAATTCATCATCTCGAGAGTATTAAGGAATCTACCTTTTGGATTCCTCAATTTCCATCCTAGGAACTTTTTAGGAAAAATATTAATGACAAATATTTGATTTGTTATTTTTTAGAAATATCATAAATGTTTTTAAAAGTCTTGAAATTTATAGGTGGAAATGCCTTTATAAAACATATTTTCTCATATAAACGTTTTTTTAAACCATATTGATTAGAATTACACATTTTTTTAGGAAACGTATTAAAAATTAAATCTTGGCCTCCCGAGATATTGATCTTTACTCTCAAGAATCTGAAAACATCGGCCTCCCGAACATTTCAAGGTTCCATTTTTTAGCTTTTCGTTTACCAAATTTTTAGTTGAAGATATTTAATAAAGTTAAGTAAAATAACGTTTATTGTACAATATATATACATTTGTCAAATATCATACATGTAATCAAAATAAACATGTTAAAAAGATAATCAATAAAACCACATGTTACAAAATAGTTCAAACAACCATGATATGAAATTAGCAATAGAGATAAAAGAAGAACAAGGTGAAATAAAATAAGGGAAGAAACATATCCCGAAAATAATGTCGAAAGAATTAAACTTGCGCTTGGAACATAGGTAGGCAAAACAATATATGAGAAAGTTTTTTTGAACAAAATATATGAGGAAGTTTATCAATCTACTTTATTTGATAACACAACATGGAAAACTTACCGTCTTGAGACAAAACTCCGATTGTTTGTCTTCTTGTTCAAATGTGTCTAGAGTCAAATGATGAAGAGGAAAGTTGTGGTGAAAATAGTGATGGAGCAAACATGTGATAGATTGTGAGGAACGAGTAGGAAGCGGTGAGAGTCTCTCATTGTTACTCTTTTCTCCCTATTTTCATTTCATTCGACTATTTCTTACGCAGAAAATAATGTGATCTGTCGTCCTCCTCCTAAAATCAATAGAATTTCGTCGGAATAGGAATATTACAGATCCCTCATTCCAGGGCGCAAAATGTTTCAAAAAAAAGGCGGTGGCCCGATTTGAAAATACCAACTAACACTTTCTTTAAAAAATGCTGCCCTTCTATCGAGATTTCAAAAGCAGCAAACATTAAAGAAAGAGATCGAAATTTTGAATTGCTGTTTGAATCCGTGTATAAGGAGTACTTTGACAGAGAATTTGTGGGAGAACGATAAAGTAACGAACCAAAAAAACAAAAAAACAAAAAAACAAAGGGAAGCAAACCTTGAGAGAGAGCAAAAATGAGAGTGATAGTCTTTCTTTGTGATGTGTTTCACTGTCCCCTAAACCTAGTCACCTAGCTCTTATAGTGTTTCAAAACCCTAATTTACAAATGGAAAAAATATTTTAATTCATTACACAATCAATCAAATCTTATGATTTTATTACAAATTTTAACTTTTACCCAAATTATGTTAAATTTAAAATTTTTCCATATGAGTAAGATTTTGTTTTCTGTTTTTTGTTTTTTTTTTGAAAATATTTTATTTTGAGCATGGAAATTCACATTTAATAAAAAAATCTTTATGATTTTGTTACTTTTTTTTTATTTTATTAAAAATGATTTTGATTAAAAAAATAATAAGGAAATCGATATTTAAACCAAATACTTTTTTTTTTTTTGATAAAACAAGCAAAAAAAAAATCCCACAAAATATTAACAAAAATTCTATTGGAAAATTACTATAAATTAAGTAAAAAAAGAATGATGAAATAGAATATCGGACAAATTTATGGGTCTATAGCTTGTACCAATCTCATATCAGTAGAACATGCATCTGAGTTGGAAATTGGACGTAGCCATTAATTAAACCACCTAGAAAAAGATGAAAAGTCAAACTTTTAAAAAATTAGGGGTGGATTTGGTTGATGCCCTGAAAACAAGAAATTCTATAATCACATGTTTTATATGGTTTTAGATATGTGTTTGGTAGCATATCGAATGTTTAATCTCAATTTTAAAAATTACTCGGGTATTAATTCATATATTTGCCAACTAATGATCTTTGCGAACTAAATATTTATTTTAATCTAAAATAATATTAATTAATTTATTAACATATGTTAAAAAATGGAAGATTATTATTTTATTGTATTATATAATTTATAATATATCATATTTTACATTTTTTAATTTTATCAAAAGTTGTTATCTTTTTGTTTTTTTAAATATAATCTATATTTTAATTTTTTAAAATCAAAATCTGAAAACAAACTTCCACTATTTGGATCATAGTATTAAGAAACATTTAAAGAAAACAAATCTATCAAACAGATTTTCACTGAATTTACTTTAGGGAATAGAATGTGGATTGCAACTCTAACAAATTTGGGAGAAATTAGCTCATCCTCACAACAGCTGGCAATAAAAATATTGTTGCTAAGTAAATATGAATAAAACATTAGTGACACAATAATAAATTCAAGATGGGTGTTGTGTTGTTTGTTTGTAAGGATAAAATAAAATATACTACAAAAATAATTAACTACTCCCCATGTGCTATCGTAGGGCTTTCGTGTGAAAAATGGTATTAAAAATAAATATTTGACTCCTACGCGTCGAGATCAAGTTTTATCCTTCGTTGTCTTTAAAAAAATTGACACTTCACTATTTTTTTGAAAAAACAATCTTTTATTTATATATTTTCTTTTTTAGTTATCAAACATTTAATAGCAGCGAAGATAAGATTGGTCATCACATGTAATGAGCATAATATTTTCATTAAAAATATGTGATTGTCTTTTTTTAGTATAACAATTTAAAGATACGAGAGACGAATTTTTAACTTCTAGAAAATAAATATATGTCAATTATCTCTGAAGTATTTTCATATTAAAAAAATCGAACGGACTTTGTCTGTGCCTTTAAAAAAAACTAAATAATAAATTTATACTAATATTAATAATAAAGAACAACTTGACTGGTCACCAAATTAATCGACAAGCAGGATCACTTATGTGCTATCGGTACGGCTTTGATGTGAAAAATGGTATTAAAAAATATATTTGACTCTTACTCTTCAAGATCTAATCTTCCCTTAAAAAATTGATAGCTCACTATTTTTAGAAAACAATCTCTATTTATATATTTTTCTTTTTTAGTCATCAAATATTTAACCACAATGAAAATAAAATTTATGGACCACATGTAATGAGTCAAAATATATTTATTAAGAAAGATGTGATTGTCTTTTTTTTTATTTGTTAGTACAACAATTCAGAGATATAAAAAGATCAAATCTTTAACCTCCAAATAACGAATACAATGACAATTATTGCTAAGTTAGTCGATTGTCTCTGATTTCGAAAGAAAGAGTTGAATAATAAATTTATACCAGTATTAATAATCGAGAACAACTTGACTGGTCACCACATTAATGGACAAGTGGGATCACTTTGGGATACGCACCAAAGAAAATAATCATCTTTGTACAATAAATATGATGGTGGTCATTCAACCATGGCTGAAACAATCACTATGGCATCGCCCTCATATTCAATTCTAAGAACAAATCTCGAAGAAACACAGTGGGTTCTGCAAATCAGCGAGCTTCTTCAACGAAATGATTTTCATACAGCTTTTGAAAGTCCAATTTCTATCTTTCAAGTGCCAGATTCTATACGAAACGACAGCCCAGAAGCCTTCACTCCTCGTCGTGTGGCTTTGGGGCCTTATCACCATTTTCGATCAGAGCTGCTCAACTTGGAGCTCTACAAGCTCAGTAGAGCAAAGAAGGTGAAAGATCAGATCGAATTGGCTGAGTTTCACAAACTTGTCAGTGATAAACTCAAGCCATTGGAGCTTAAAATCCGAGCATGTTTCGACAAATATTTGGAAGTGGGATGCGAGGCTTTGGCTTGGATAATGCTCATTGATGGCTTGTTCTTGATTCACTCGCTTCGTATCTTTGCTGAAGTGGAAGTAGAGTGTTCTCTTCAGCGCCATGAGCTTCCTTTACCTGAGCTCGACTCTGAACACCAACAGATGTACCTCAATCCCAAAGCAAATTCAATGGCTCGAAATGAGATCGTGAGTGACACTCTAATGTTGGAGAATCAAATCCCATTTTGTGTTCTCAAAGAAATTTTAGCAGGAACTCACATCATCAATGATCTGCCAGTCTTATTATACAAATTCTGTGTCTTGGTTTCACCATTTGCCTTACGTTCATATTCGCATATGGTCCTAGTTAACTCCATCAGTTTTCTTGATGATCGCCTTCCTCAAACATTCCAACAATCTCATCATTTGTTGCATTTTTTGTACCTCTTGATTTTGAATCAGTGGGAAACGGACGGTGAAGGTGAAGAGATTTATGGTCGTCCTGCCTCCCCAAATCTTCTTGGTCTTTGTTTGAATATATTAGCATCAATTATGCAGACGAACGCAATTGAATTACTACTGCAATTCAGTGAGTTAATCCAATATTTGTTTGAAATATTCAAGGTATTGGTTCGACCATCTTCACTTGAGGATAGCTTTCCTACGATCCCCTCAGCCTCAAAACTGAAGAAAGTTGGAGTGAAATTTCAGCCAAAATATAGCCTCCAAGCCTTTACGTTTTACAAGCCAGAGGCCACTCTCTGGTTGCCAGCCATCACGTTGGATTCTACGTCCCATGTAATATTGAGAAATCTAGTAGCATTTGAAGTCATTACCAAGTTGAACCCGCCAAGGTTTTCCCAATATGCAGCCGTTATGAATGGACTCATGGCAACTACAAAGGATGTCAAGATTCTAAAGGAAGCTCGCATCATCGTTAATAATCTAGAGAGTGATGAAGAAGTGGTGGAGCTCTTTAATGGGTTTATGAAGTTTGCTTCAAAGGGTGAACCATCAAAGATTGGATCGTCTAGTCCTGACCCAGTTAATTACATGGTAAATATGGTTGAAAGGATCATTGAAGAAGTAAACAAATATTATGAGAGCACATGGAGAATTAAGGTAAGAAAATTTGCAAAGAAGTACTTGTCTCCGATCGCCAAGATTCTTTTAATTGTTGCCTTAGCGTTGCTTATGATTTTTGTGATTATACGTGCATTTTGTAGATTATTATTTAGTTGTCCTAAAGTCTTGAAACCTTAAAGAGTGTTTTTCTAATGGGAATTGCTTTGGTCGGGTGAAAAGTTTTTTGTATGATAAAAACACTATCTTATTTAGTTCTAATATTTAACTTCAACCATACTTTTAATCTAACTAAAGGATGTTTTATAAATGATTAATATTTATTTAAATAAATTGTTGATATGCTATTGTGGCCGAGGTGACCCACCAACAACAATTTCGTGGACTCTAATGGATCAGGTCGATAGCTGCAAACAAAATAATCTTACACTTGTGTGGTGCTCGACTACATACACATCGAATCTTAAGTTAGAACTTAATTAATCAAAGTTGGCGTTGAGTCGAGTTTGAGTATGAATTTTTTGAAAAGATTACACTCCGCCTTTTATACGGATCTAGAGCATTGAAAAGTATTGTTATGCTGCGGCGGCTAATATATAGGTGTTTTTAAGTATGTGATAACAACAAATCAATAAGTAGGGTATATTAGTTATTAATATTTTTCAGAAAAATACTTTATTACATTTATTTGTACAAATATGCTAAATGTGAAGTTATTTTAATAATATAACATATTTATAAATGTTTTGAAAAACTATGCTAACTACGTACTCATTAGAATTTCCCTATTTTTGTTTTATACTATTTAGTTCATCTTTTTTTCCTTGTTTGATTTTTTAGGCACTACTACTTAATTAGTTTTTTAAAGCTTAAAAATAATATTTAACGAAAAATTTATAAAAATTATTTAATCAGACATAAAAATATAAACCTGATTCTTAGAAAGTATTAAGTGTTTACAAAAAAATTATAATAATACTATAAGAAAAAAAATTAAAACAATAAAAAGAACAATATAAAAGGTTACTAATATATGTTAAGTAATTAGTAATTGATATCATAATGTAAATAATTAAATTTTTAACAAGATGATATTTATTTAATTAGAAATAAAAGACAATTAGAATAATTATATATAACACACACACACAGATATATATATATATAAGATAAAATGGTAGAAAGAGCTTTCTTCCTTGCAACCTTTTTTCATATTTGGCTTTCCAGGAAAAAAAAAAAAAGTTAATATATAGTTGGCCACGCTGTTTGTCCCATTTGTATGTGGATCTGGTCGGCGTTGAATTCGAACCATTGACTAATGGAATCCTAAATAATTTTTTCGGGCCTTTGATTTATTCTAATGCATGCTATTAAACTAATGCTCTTAAATGTCTATGTCCCGCCCTAATTTGTCTCTAGCTTGTAACTGTCCATCCTTCCACTTAGGTTGTTTATCAGTCAGTCGGTGTCGATTTTGTGCTGAAATTGACCATCCTTTTTTCCATTGATTGAGCGAGCGAGCGGTTGGTTCGATCGGTTTTGGTTTTGATTTAGACTGGATAAAATTTTTCATTTACAATTACTTGTAGGGTCCATTTGGTAACGTACCTATTTCTTGCTTCTGTTTGTTTATTTTTAATGAAGAAAAATGTATTGCATGGTTCCAACCTCCAAGAATTTATGATAAAATAATCTGTTTTATTTATGTTTTGGGACGAATTAGAAATGAGAACAAGAAAAAAGAAATTTGTTTTTTTTTTTCAAAATTTCTATACAATTACGAGAATGTTCCAAAAATAGTAGAAACAAGAAACAAAGTTGATTGTAACATGCTTGGATTTCTTAAGAAAATCGGAAACGAGAAACAAGAAACGGAAACATTATGAAATGGGATGAAAAGGAAAAAAAAAAAAGAACAAACGCGAGAATCGAGAGAGAGTGTGTGAGACAGACCTGCAGAGAAAGATCTCGAAAAGGAGGTAGCAAAGTCATTGTGAAGGTGGAAATCATGAGATGAAAGTGAGTGAAGGCGAGAGAGACCTACGAGGATTGAGGCCAGAGAGAGTGAAGACGCCAGAGATTGAGACAGCGCAAATTTCAAGGCAACAAAAATCTTGGCAAGTAAAAAGAGAAGGCAAGAGAAAGGTCGAGTAAAAATCGTGGGAGGTGGTGAAAATCTTGGGAGAAAAGGAAAGAAACCTATGACTAAACTATATATAGTAATATTTTATGTTAAAAAACCGGCCGGTCGATCAGACCGACCTCTAAACCTCTAAAACAAGCCGGTCGACCTCAATTTGGTTGGCTTCAGATAAATTTTGACAAAATAGAGAATGATGAAAAGTTAGCTTGAATTGCTTAGCTTGTGGTTGTATTGTACATATTGAATATAAATACAGCATTTACACCAAATGAAAGATTACACAATAAATGGAGAATATTACCATACAAGTATCCCATATATTAAGGGATGAGGAGTATTGAATTATCACCTATAATCATGGGTCAATAGGCCGCAACAAATTTTCTATTATGTGGACAACATGCCCAATCAGCATCACAATACCCTATCAAGCTTAGCTTATTGGACGGTTGAATTAGTAATGCATGATTAAGGGCTCCTTTTAAGTACCTCAACACCCACTTTGCCGCTTGCTAGTGGGCATCAATAATTTGAAACAAATAGATAGATAAAAAAAAAATCTCTTGTTTTTTCCTTATCCCCGACAAACTTAGCTCACTAGCCAAGAATCTTTGCCCTGAACTAGGCCTAGTGACTTAGCTTGTTAACAATAAAAGAGATTTCAGGCCGTATATTGGTAAGATATTGAAGTACTCCTATAAGGCTTTGGTAGTCTGTTGGATTAGCAAGACTTTCACATTCATATGCTGGAAGTATTTCCCTTGGCTTAGGTATATACCACTCTTGTCACGGTACACTTCAATTCCAAGAAAAAAGGTTAAGTCCCTAATGTCTTTCAAAGCAAATAGTCTATTCAATTCACTGATGAAACGTTTGATCATTTGAGCATCATTTCCAGTTATTACTATGTCATCGACATAGATTAAAAGAAACAACAAGGTGGTACCTGATCGGAAATAGAACATTGATGTATCTGCTCTTGAGTTTAGGAATCCCCAACCAACAAGCGCACTTTTTAGCTTGTCGTATCATGCTTTTGGCGCTTGTTTGAGGCCATATATGGCCTTTGTTAGTTTTCATACAAAATCGGGATGTTGTTTATCTAAGAAACCTTCAGACTGCAACATATAGACTGATTATTCTAGCTAACCATTGAGAAAGGCATTAATTATGTCTAATTGACGTATTCACCAACTATTCGATACAACCATAGTGAGTATAATGCGAATGGTTGAAGCTTTCACCATCGGACTGAAAGTTTCAGTGAAGTCAACACCGGGCGTTTGGTGAAAGCCTTTTACTACCAACCTAGCTTTATGCCTCTATATACTGCCATCCGGATTATGTTTCAACCGAAAAATCCACTTATTCCCTATCAAGTTGTATGATTCTTTATATGGAACAAGTGACCAAGTTGACTTTTTGTGCAATGCCTCCATTTCCACAATCATAGCCTGTTCCATTCCAGGACTAAATAATGCTTCTTTGACATTTTTCAGCTCGTTGTATTTAGTACAAGCACTAGAAGAAGAGTTAGGAAATTGAGATAAGAAATTTCAAACCTTGGGCTTGAAGATCCCACATTTAGAGCGAGTTTGCATTGGGTGTGAGGAAGGCCAAATATTCACTTGTTCTCTGGATACTAGGAGTAGAAATGTTTGGACTAATATCAATATTTTCCATATCAGTGGCGGCTGGTGTTGGGTCATCAATGAGTTGCCGTTGATTTTCATTACTGTTGAACAACACACTTTGATTCAACACATTTGATGGTGATGTTGGAGGCTGGTCACTTATTGAATTTTCATTATTCTTGCTAGGAGAGAACAAAACTGGTTGGTTGTCCAAACATTGGCTTGTACCAAGTGAAATTTGGGATGATGGGGAGCTATTTAGAAGATTTTGAGGGTTGCTTTGATGTTGCTGAAAAGTGGGATTTATCCATGTAATGTGTTGGAAAATTGCTTGACCTAAATAATTTCTCCTTCCAAGAATATTCAAATATGAAGAAAACAGTAGTGAACAAGAATATGACACAGCAAATTATACTGGTTCACCATTAAGGGCTACGTCCAGTCTTCCACTCATATATGGATAATTCACTAATATTGTTTAGGATTGGATACAAGAACATTCCCCAAAATATCCCCTAGAGGTCTCAACAAAAGCTCCCTAACTTCTAAGTATTTTATACAATTAATACTTAGGAACAGGAATGAAAAACTCACAATAATCAAGATCTAATTACCCCGAATGTGTTGATCTTGATGAACCTCAATGCCTCTGCCAATGTCCGAGCCTCTCCCTTGAAACTGCCACGAAATCCTCTGAAAAACCCTCAACCCGAAACTGCACTTATATAGACATTGAAACAGCACCATGGCGCTGTCCTCGACGCCATGGCGCTACGGGCAGATGTCTGTGTTGCGCCCCCATCTGGACAGCGCTGGGGAACTGCAGCACCGTGGCACCCTGCAGCGGCGCCGCGGTGCTGCCTCATCGGTCCAAGTGGCCTGCAGCTTCCACTTCTCCCCAGTTTTCATCCTGCTTCGATCCCGACACGTCTCGGCTTGATCCCGACTCTTCTCTAGCTCGTCCAGCGTCATTTTGACTCCACCAATCCCAACATAATGATAGTTTCATGAGATGATTGGTTGGCAGGACTAGTCGTTAAGAAACTAAATTTAAAAGGAAACTCACCCTTGTTAAACACAACATTTCGAGATATGTAGACTCTCCCACTTGAACTCAAGCATTTGTAACCTTTGTGAGTCTGACTATACCCAAAAAAAAAACACATTTTGTGGAGTGGAGTTGAAATTTGTTAGATTGATAGGGCCTTAGACAAGGAAAACAAGATGAACCGAATACTTTAAAGAAATTATAATCGCGTTTTTTGTGATATGTTTTTTACCAAGGAGAGAGATTGTTAAGAACGAGGGTAGGTGTTCGGTTTATGATGTACACAGCTGTAAAGAAAGCATCCACCCAATATCTAATGGGCATTGAAGC